GAGAAGACCAAAGGACAATTTAACTAAATACCACTTCAAATCTAAACAGCTAAACTGAGTCTTGGGGTGGAACTCAGGACCTTACACTCAGAGAATGCTCCAGAGCTGGCCTATGCCTACAGTCCCTAATACGTTACTCTTGTTCACTGAAATAGTGGTAGTGGTGAGAAACATACTGTGAAACAGTAAACACAACCACTGTATTTTTCCCCAAAGGCTGGCCACTGGCAGATTACACTGAAGCATCCTAGCACGCCTATAGAGGACGGTGTTCCAAAGGCTTCCATCCCACGATGGCCGTGGCATGATTTCGCAGGTGCAGGTTGCCTGCTGTTCTGAACCCAGGAACAGAGGGGTCGCCAGGAAAGGCGACTTTCTTGTCTTCCTTCTTTAGACTTGGGGTTTGGGCAACATTTACTCAAACACACTTATATACATGGCGGGAAGCACAGCATTTCTGCAGCTGAGCTACAGTTTGCCATTTAGTGCCTGCATATCACGTAGTTCCCAGAAAAGGATGATGAACTGGATTGCAAATATGATAAATCAAGGCCAAAGAACAGCCTAGTGGTCATATGGTAAAATGGCAAACAGCAATAAAGATGTTAGCAACCTCTGTTTGCTATATTCCAGAAAGTCCTGGAACTACTAGGGTAGTGAATAAAAATTACAGATTTTTTTTGTTGTTGTTTAGCCTTCTGAGGTGTTTTTTTTTTTTTTGTCTTTTTGGGACAGGGTTTCCCTATGCGATTCAAGGTGGGCTTGAACTCACTTTGTATACCAGGTTGGCCTTGAACTCAGAGCAATCGTCCTGCCTCAGCTTCCTGAGTGCTGGGATTTCAGGCATATGCTACCACACCTGGCTAGCCTTCTCTTAATTTTTTAAGTACTTAAACTTGATTTCTCTTAAAGTTCTCAGATTGTAACTTTCTGAGGACTTGACAAACTCAAGAATTCAAAAAAGGCTACATGGACAAGTGGTGTAAAAATCAGAATTTTAACTTTTTTTTTTTTTTTTGGTGGAACCGGGGATTGAACTCAGGCCCTTGCACTTGCCAGGCAAGCAGTTATTCTACTGAGCCATCTCCCCAGCCCTAAAATCAGAATTTTAAAGGGTCTACATAAAACTACACCTTGACTATCTTCTATAACCCAATAAATGTAAATTCATAATTTCTCTGCTAAAATTACTATTTATTTATTTTGACAGCGTTCAAACCAGCCTACACAGTTCGAACTGGCCTCAAACTCAGGACCGTCCTTCTCCTTCAGCCTTTCAACTGCAGAGAACTTCAGGTATGCGCCATGATACCCAGCTTGAGACTGTAATTCTACAGAGTATATTTGTCTGCTCATATTAAATCCCTTCCCCCATAATATAAAAAACACTTTAGTTCATTAGTTTACTAATTGCACGTTGATTCCTTACATTCTTTAAGCCATCTAAATCACTTTTTCTTCTTTTTATTAGGTTTTAAATTAAAGCACAAAAATTTTTTATAAATAAGGCAGTGTATAGACATACTTTTCTACCCACTAGCTCTTTAGGGCTGTATGTTGTTCCATATCATTTTCTAGACTTCAAATCCATATGACTGCACAGGGCATTTTATCCTTTTACAAAATTACAGAAATGAAGTCTTCATATACATTAGTTTATAGTTTTCATTTTTCTTTTTCCATTTCTCCAGTTCAATTTATACAGATCGCTTTCAATAGCTGGGTTATTTTCTAGCATGAAGATACTAGAATTTGCCAATTATTACTTGAATGTGATATTTCCATACTTTTTTTTTTTTAACCATTACAAGTAAAGGTGCTTTTACTTGTATAGGATAGATTCCCAAAATTATATAGCTGTTTAAAGTGTGTGTATATCTCTATCTATCTATCTATCTATCTATCTATCTATCTATCTATCTATCTTCTACAGGGTCTCACTATGGAGATCAGACTTGTAGTGATCTGCCTGTGTTCAGCCTCCCAAAGCAGGCAGCTTTAATCCACTGAGCTGAGATTTAGCTGGCCCTAAAGTATGTATATTTTTAACAGTACTTTGAGATTCCTTCCTTCCAACAGCCCTTCAGTCAATTATTAACTAGATGTTTAGAGGAAGGCCCACCTCATTCTGTTCGTTGCCAAAATGTGTGCAAGTCTCATGATTTAAACAAATAACCCAAAATTCAGTTCAAGGACATTGTAGGGGACTTGGCCATGGAATGAATGTTAAATTGCAGGATAAACGCATACAGGCTCTGTGAGAAGTGAATGGTTAAACAAGAAGCACATCCGTAATCTCCGCACTTATGAGGCTGGGGCAGGAGGACTGCCAGAAGTTCAAAAGCCAGCCTCATACAGTGAGACCTTGTTTCAAAAAACAAAATATAAAAAAAGAAGCTTATTTTTTTTAATTTATTTATTTATGTGTGTGTGTGTGTGTGTGTGTGTGGCCAGCTCAGCCCACCAGGGGGCGGGCTGGCTGGCATGTGGTGCTGGGGGATTGAACCATGGTCCCTGGGTTTTGCTAAAGCTTGTTCTAAGTAGGTGCTTTAGACCACTGAGCCATCTCACCAGCCCAAAGAAGCTTATTTTTAAAAAAATTTTTTGCGGTACCAGGAATTAAAAAAACAAGTTTAGATTAGTGAATCATGATGTGTCTGACAGAAATACTTTTCCCTCTCTATCCAAGTTGTGCTCATCAAATGTATCTCCAGACATTGCCAAATGTCCTTTCAAAAGCAAAATCATCCTCAGTTGAGTAAAAGAAAATGGACTATGTCTAGAACGAGGCTTATGAATCACTATACATTAATACATATATTTCAGCTGGATGTCATGGCTTATAGTTCCAGCTATTTGCAAGGATGAAGCAGGATTATCCTAAGTTTCAAGCAGCCCAGGGAACATTACAAGACCCTGGCAACTCTAACCACACAAAATCTTTTTTTTGTTTGGCAGAACCAGGGATTGAACTCAGGCCCTTGCGCTTGCCAGGGAAGCGCTTATTCCACTGAGCCATCTCCCCAGCCCCACAAAATCTTTTATACCAAATTAGTAAACACAGATCTTACAGTGGCAACCTGTGGTATTTAACGGCCATTAACCACACACTGACTACTTGGGTTATGGCAAGACTGAATTGAGATGTGCTGTATGATCAAATTTCACACTGCATTTTAAAGATTAAGTATGAAATAAATCATTTTTTTCTAAAATATAACTGGCTTTTTCAAGTGATTTATGAATCAAGCAGTCTCCACTAAAGATTTTTAAAAGGCGCATTTTAGTACTTCAATTACGTGTTAATTGAATATCTTGGATAACTGAACATCTTGGATATCCTATCCAAGATATTCACCTAATTAAATTCACCTAATTCTTTTACTTCTTAAAATATGGCTACTATATAATTACACATGTGTCTCCCACCTGTACATAGTGGTATAGTATTTCCACTGGGTAGTGCTAATCTATGCATTGTATGTATCACTCCTTACTAGTACTACAACTTCTGAGAATCTCTGTATATCTGTTCAAAAGCCGTATCAGTCTCGCTGAGAGACGCGTTACCACCCCCTGCCCTTTCAGATGGAACTGTTCCAGTAACAGCTTGCTCAAGGTATAACATACTTAGAGGCGATTGATCCAACTATGGCAAGATTATTGCAACAAGATTCACAGCCAAGAAGTTGCTAAAAGCTTAATGAAAATGGCTATCATTTTTTTTCCATCTGATGGAACACTGCAGGCAAATGTTCTACCACGCTCCAGATCTCTCTCTCTTTCTTCCTTCCTTTCAAGTCTTGATCTTACAGCGATCCTCTTGCTTCAGCCTCCTGAGTGTTTGGATTACAGTCGGGGACCACCACACCTGGCTCAGCTACAGATTTTTAAAGAAATTCACATTTCCTTTTACCTCAGGACATACTTTTTGGAATAACCATCTTTCCAAGTGACTGTCAAATAATGTCCTTAGATTTCATAGCATTCTGTATTTGAAAACATTACATACATCTGTCTAAGTATTATTGTTTTTCATAAAAGCCCCAAGTGATAGGTATAGTTAATATTTACATTCTCAAAATATACACCCCCAGGTTTGTGTTCCAGGAACAAGATTTATAAATTTGTTATAAAATGTGTCGGTATTTAAACTCCTCTTTCAAATTATTTCCAAACTTGCGAGTATATCACCTTAATAAGAAAAAGACGTGCATACAATAAGACATTTAAGAAAAAAACACTAAAAATCCCTAGGTTAAACGTCTTTCAACTCTGACAGTACCACGCACTTTGCTATTCCTGCTTAGTCATAAGTGCTTCCCCGGGAAGCCTGAAAGCTAGGAGTCTGGTTAGTTTGTTCAAGTGACGGTGGGCAGAGCGCGGCCCCGCGAAACTCGTAGCTCTATCTCGCTGCTCCCCCAAATGAATCTCTTCAAACGTCTCTAGATCTTACCAGTGCTGTTCTCCGGAATGCATTCCGTATTCCTCCACGGGCCAACTTACCTCTCCAAGAGCTGAAAGCCTTGGAGAAACTCTAAACCACACAGAGGAACCACCTCTCCTTTCGCTCATCACGCTACCTGGCGCTCGGCTTTCCAGACTTACAGCGAGGAACTGCTCCCTGCTAACCCAGGGCAGCGCCCCTTACGGCAGAGGTGCAGGCTGCCCCTTCCTCTCTCTTGGGAGCTGTACGGACGCTTGCTAGTCGAAGGATGGGATTCTGTCTCCGCGAATGGTGACCGCACTTACGTGCCAGTAGCTGAGCGCCTACGCGCGTGCCCTGCCCCCGGGGGCGCTCCCTCCAGCCAAGGAGGACGTGCGGGCCACGAGCAGACCCCGGCCAGAGACCTTGGATTCGGCGCGCACCGCGTTCCACGCAAGGAACTTTCTTGCCCTTCATTAGAGGCTTCGGCTTCAATACCTTTTCCCAAACTCTATCAAAACCTGGAGCTTTGCTCATGATCTTCATCGCTTCCCGCGCATTCCGTAACATGCTGCTCCCTGCGCACCGACTGTCAGCTTGGAAGAACGAAGGACAGCAAGTCTGCGACCGAGTAATGACCAAGGACCTGCGTCTGGCCGCCCTTTATGCCCGGCAGCGCGCTCAGGGTCACGCGTCGCGCGCTCCCGCCGCCAGCATCCTCTGTGGCTCGCGCACTAACGTTCCGGTCCCTCTTCGGACCGAGTGCGCATGCGCACGCGCTTTGCACCCTACTAGTCCCAGCGGCTCGGCCCGCCGCGCAGCCGAGTGGGGCGCGTTTCCTCGCCGGGCGGTTGACGCGGGTGCACCGGAGCGCTGGGCGCCTGCGCAGAACCAGGCGGCGCCGTGTGGTGTTAGTGGGCGTTGTAGCCGGGGCGGATATATGGAGCTCCCCAGCGGTGAAGAGGCGGCGAGGGACGAGGGCGAGCCCGAGGCAAAGAGGCGGCGGCTGCTGTGCGTGGAGTTCGCCTCGGTGGCGAGCTGCGACCCTGCGGTGGCGCGGGGCTTCCTGGCCGAGAACAACTGGGAGATGGAAGTACGCGCTCGGCGTCGCTGCTCGCGCCCTCGCCTGGGTCGGGGGGCGCCGGCCGCGCGCCCAGCTTGTGCCTTTGCTTTTCAGAGAGCGCTGAACGCCTACTTCGAGCCGAGCGCGGAGGGCAGCGCCGTGGGGAGCCCGGCCGGGCCGCCCGTGGAGCCCGAGCGCTGGTGAGCTCGGGGCTCCGGGCCGGGCGTGTCGGGTGCGGGCGGGCGCCCCGGGGCCGGGCGCGTTGTGGCGGGACCGGAGCTCTCCCCGGAGGTCGGCAAGCTTTGGAACGGGAGTTGGCGTGCGGGGGGAAATGTGCGGTGTTTGTGTTCCAATCGTGCGCGTTTCTGATGATTCCATCCGTCTTTGGGGATCGGTACTTAGACGTATCGCCTCGTCATCATTTTCACTTGCCAAACGCTTCCCCTTCCGCCCTCCTCTCCCCCGTTCCCGAACTCTCCCATCTCTACAGTCTTTTTGACTATAATTAGAGGAGCGCGATAATCTATAGAGTTTTGAAGCAAAAGAATGATACAAATCCTCTGTTGAATGTTAACTTGGAAATCTTGTCTCCTGTTTTACTTGCTTTCTTCCAGCTACCCAGAATAGTTTTTTGGCTTTGCTTTTTTAAATTCAAGCCTGATAGTGTTTTACAGTGCTCCGTCCTATTTTTTGAATTATTGTTCTTAAAGTCCGGATGCCTGCACATCCTCGACTGTTGGCCCTGGGCTTGTCTGACCAAGGTCTGCCCCTGCGACTCCCCATGAAAAGTTCCAGACCTGCCAGAATTCACTTCGTGAGCTATTTTTGCTTGCCATTATCAGGCTTGAAACCGATTCTTTCTTCTTGCTTGTTAATATGTGTCTGAAAGGCCCCAGGTATCAGACACGCTATCTCCAAGAAGTTTTCCTGATGTCCCGAGTCTAGGTAAGAGTTCTAGCTTTAGGTATTTGTATAGTACCTTGTGCGATCCATGTCATAATGTAGTCCTTATTCTCCTTACCATTCAGTTTTTTTTTTTTTTTTTATCTTGTTAGACTACATACTTGGTACAGACATAATTTGTTTTGTATGTTGTTAATTTCCTTTGAGTCTCATACACTATCTGGCGCTCACAAGCTCTCAGGAAGTATTTTTAGAATGTATAAAAGTTTTTCTGGCTGTATGAGTAGTTATAGAGTTGACTGTTATGGGTCAGGATTTTTCCTTTGATCTTTTCATTGGCTTATGGATGTGGTGAGATCAGCTTTCATTAGGTTTCTTTGCTTTCTTTTTGTTGGCTCCTTCATTTTAAATTAAAAGCAACTGGATAAAGAAGTGCTTATCTGGCCCACGCTAGCCAGTCATATCCCCTCTCCCAGGATTTCAGAGTCAAGTGTGAATCTACCTGTGGAGCTAGTTGTAATATGTTAATGTACCATAAGCCTAGATCCATATTCATCGTTTTTTGTGCTTGGGGAAGCTGAGAGCAGTGGTGCAAAGTTGCAGCTCACAAAATTGTAACTGATACATTAGAGCAAAGCAAATGGATTCCCTGAAATAGGTCTTCAGAAAAAATGTACTGAGCTGAGGTATGGTGACTAGAGGACAATCAGGAATCCCTGATTCTTGAACGGTAAATCAAAAACAAATGAGGTGACTGTTAAGACTTTGGTCTTTTGTCTCTTGGAATTCAGATCATGAGCCACTGGCCTTGGGGCACCAGGCCTGTAATCTAATTGCAGCTCAAGGTTGAGGCAGGAGGATCAAAAGTTAAAGGCCAGCTTGGGTAATTTAGTAAGACTGTCTCAGCATAAAAATGAGAAAAAGGTATAGAGATGCAGTTCAGCATTTCAATCCTCAGTACTGGGGGGGGGGGGGAAGGATGATAAAATTTAACTCACTAAGGAGAGAAAAAAGTTTCAAGTGTATCCAAGGCATTCATATTCACAGAACATGACCTGATTAGATTTTTTAATGTTGCCTTTAACAAAAGTGAAAGAGAAAAAAAGGAAACTGATAGGATGATTTTATGACTAGAAAAACAGGCCTGATGAGCAGGGGCTTTGATTGTCTGAGTGGGGGTGAGGATCTCATGTCTTAAGTAAATTTCTAGTGTATTATCCAGAAGTTAAAAGTAGTTTAGCCATCTGTTGGAATACGCGTTTAGTGTCACTGAGATGGGACATCTCCTTAAGGCAGTTGCTGAATCTTGGGTGCATATTGTACTACCTTATGGGGAAGGCTGTTTTAAAAAATATCTTTCTGGGCCAGGCATGTAGTTCAGCAGTACAGTGCCTGCCTGGCAAATGTGGTCAAACTGAGTTTGATTACTGGTACCAAAAAAAAAAAAAAAAATTTTTTTTTTCTTCCTGTGGTCCCTCTGTTGTATCTGTAAGTGAGCAGACATGTATCACAGCAAGAATAGGCTTTTCCTTATTCATATAACTTTTGCTGTTGAGGCATCTTTTGAAACTTACAGATTCAGTATCCCTTATCTGCAGTGCTTGAGACCAGAAAGATTTTAGGTTTTGGAGCATTTTGATTTTTGGATTTTCTAACTAGGGATGCTTAATCTGTATTTTCAAAATGAGGAATACAAATACAAAATAATTTTTGGAGTAGTTTGTATTACTTATGAAGTTATATTTTATTCTGCTTTTACCAGTGTTGACCTAACCAATGAAGAAACAACTGATTCCACTAGATGTAAAATCCGCTCATCTGAAAACACTCAACAAGAAGATGGCAGCATGTTCTCTTTGATCACATGGAATATTGATGGATTGGATCTCAACAATTTACAAGAGAGGGCTCGAGGGGTGTGTTCCTATTTAGCTTTGTAAGTGGTGATAATAGTTTATAGTTTACTGTGATAAAGTGTCTTATATCTACACAGCAACCATGTAAGATTGTGGACTTTATAATTAAAGAAACATCTGTATGTGTTGAGGTGATTGCCTCAGAGAGTTGGCCTGGAGAGAGATCAGTATGTGTTAGAAGCATTATATGATATTAGTAAACTTTCTGTGTAATTAGTACCATGATAGGGTCCAGGCAGATGGCTCAGTAGAATAAGCGCTTGCCTGATAAGCTCAGGGGCCTGAGTTCAATCCCTGGTTCTGCCAAAGGAAAAAAAAAAAAAAAAGCGAAAGACTTATACAATCTGAAGAGAAATCAGAGTATAATAACTTTTAAAATGATCAAAAGAAATAGCACTGAAAGCTTCTACATGTTGCTGAAAGCATCAGTTCAGGTGTAGTCTAAGAAGAGTGATTTCTGTTTTCATTCTTTGCATTATTTGTTTTTGTAGTGCTAGACATCAAATCTAGGTCTTCAGTCTAGGCAAGTGCTCCACCGCTGTGCTACATCTCAGCTCTGCATTTCTTTTTCATTTGATCATTATAGTACTGTGTGTTAAATAGTACAAATCTTATTGTCACTGAAAATCAGTAGAGATATTAACTACTGCACAGGGTGATAGTTTTGTATCTCTTTTATGTTGTGAAATTTCTCTTACCAAGGTAGTTGGAAATGAAATGACATACTTCGTGTTTGTATTAAATTAATGTTTCCAGGTACAGCCCAGATGTGGTATTTCTACAGGAAGTCATTCCACCTTACTTTAGCTACCTGAAGAAGAGAGCAAGTAGTTATGAGATTATTACAGGTAATACTTTCCTGCTGTTTAACTTGCCTTTTAAAGAAGCAAACCAGTAAAAGAGATAACTTAAGAGCTAGCCTCCTAAAGCATGTAGAAGAGTATAAATAAGTTTGAGAAAAACAAAGCACAGGATGGTGAAAGAATTACAGGAGAAGCTGCTCATGGTGGAGCACACCTGTTATCCCAGCACTGGGAGTGTGAGGCAAGGAAGAGCTCAAGTTCAGGCCCAGCCTACGCAATGTGGTGACTTAGTGAAACCTTGTCTTAAAATAAAAAATGAAAAGGGCTGAGGTGTAGCTTGTTGTGAACATCCTGGATTCACTGCCTAATACCAAAAAGTAAAAAAGAAAGAAGGCAAGAAAATTGTAGGCAAATATTATAAAATCAGACATTGACTAGCTTTTTGGTAAAGTCCATTCTTAAATCTTTTTTTTTTATGCTAAGGATTCAGCCCACAGCTTTGTGTGGACCAATCATGTGCTGTGCCATTGAGCTGCTCCCCTATCTCAGCCGTTAGAAATTTTAATTGTGATAATCACATCCTGAATTCCATAATGTAGTGGTTATCACGACTGCTTTACACATCCTGGTTATGCTTTTTTGAAAAGCCTTTATTACTTTGTTTTAATTCATTTTATGTTTCTTTTTCACTTCTTTTGCTCTGGATTTTTTTTTTTTAATTTTTTTTTAAAATTTTTAGGGAAGGGTATACAGGGTGTTCAGGGTCTCACTGCTACGTTGGACTCATTGGACTCATAGTGATCTGCCTGTTCACAGCCTCCCAAGAGCTGGGATTACAGGTACTGCCACCATGCCCAGTCTTAGCCTAGTCTCAATTGGCTTCTTAGTGACAGCAGGCCCGGGGATTGAACCCCTAGGCCTGCTTGCAGGCGCTTTAATCCCCTGAGCTATTTGGCCGACCCTGCCCTGGATTAATACTTAAGTTTTTCCATAAGTACATTTAAAGTAGCATTTTACTCAGTTTATTTTCCAGTATATAGTTTTCACTGACTCACTGTTATACAGCTTGTGATTCCGCACTCTGGAAGCTGTGGTCTCTAGCAAGAGGGCACTCAGTCTGTGTCCCTCTCTGTGGCACTTTCCTGCATACTTGGGCATCCCTTTTCCCTCTTTTGGATTTGTCTTCAGAGTCTGATGCTTCTCCTTGGCTTGCTTTCTCATTTTATTGGAGTCTATTTTCTAATTACTTCATAAGAAGTTGATGGAGATCAATCACTATCAGTCCAGTTCTGAGCAGTTAGAATTAATTAAGTCCAGCTCTGAGCAGTTAGGACAGGGCCTATAGGGTCTACAGGGCCTACGGGCTCTACAGGGACTCACTATGTAGATTGGACTCAGTGATTCTTCTGTGTTCTTTAAATTAACCAATTTGCTTTCCATGTTTACTTGTGAGTTTGTCCAAATCCTAGGCTGCTTGTCTGGAAACAGGCAGTGCACTCAGTAAGTGAACCTCTGTGAGTCACTGATCCCTACTCAGGCCTGTAATGGCCTGAGAAGCCAGAAAGCCTTAAAGCATAAGACAAGGTCAAAGGCAAGGGCACCAGGCTCCAACCTCACCTGGATATAAAGACTTGCCTCAGGCAGCTCACTCCTGGGTGTGTTAATTCCTTACTTGGAGAAGACTTTGAGTGGTCCTGCCCTTCTTCAGTACTCCCCTTCTTTCCACTGATAGCTACATAGATATGGGCCACCCATAGAAGGTCTTGGTGTTAGCTCTAAAAGAACCTCAAATTCTGCGACAGGGCTTTGATCCTCCTGGTCCTCTGAAATCATTCCATTTACCTCTTTTTATTTAGCCTTCACCATACAGTGGCTTGGGAGATTGTGGACCTGATTAGCTCGCAATAACTAAGGGTATTATTAACCCATCAAGAAGTACTAGATGGGTAATGAAAAGATTTAATCCTGGCATATTTAATGGGCCAGCCAGATAGCTCAACGGACTAAAGCGCCTGCTTCAGCAGAACGCAGTGGCTTGGCAGCTTCCCTGCATGCCATGCTGGCCTGGCCCCCTCAAGGTGGTGCTGTGAAGGCCATTGCGACTGGGCGTGGTAGCCCATGCCTGTAATCCCAGTGCTTGGGAGGCTGAACACAGGAGAATCACCATGAGTCTGTTCTACCTAGTGAGACCTGTAGACTCCGTAGGCCCTGTCCTGAATTCATAAAAAAAAAAAAAAAAAAAAAAAAAGTCTGGCATGTGTGAAAATGCCTACATTCTAGCATAGGAGCCGGTAGATAGTTTGAATGAACCTGGACTTCTGTGTAATCACTTTCCTTCCCTTTTCTTAAACTCTCTTAAATAGAGGCCTCCTGTATTGGGACTTTAACTCGAATATCTTCCATTTCTTTTTGTTTTCTGTGATGGTGGTGTCTGTCACATCACCTTGGCCCTGCACCCAAGATGTGTAGGGATCTTTGGCTCTGACTTCCTATTTCATCATCCGGTACTGCAACACTAAATACAGCTCAGGATTCCCTAGCAGAGTTAGTGTTTGATTATGGAGCCATGTGCTCATTTAATGGGGAGAGGGAGCTGTCAGTGTATAGAAACCTTTAACATCGGTTTTCTAAGAAAATGCTGAAGTCAGGCCTTCAGCCCATACCTGTAGTCCTAAATATGCTGGATTCTGGGGTGAGAACATTGCTGGAGTCCGTGAGCATGAGGCAACATAGCAAGACCTCAGCTTAAAAAAACAAAATACTGTTTTAAAACGATAATGCAGTTCTCTGTCTCCTGCATGCTGGTGGTGTGCCTGCGTTGCCTGCCTGCTGGAAATAGGTCTGAAGGAAGCAGCTGGTGCCACAGCCTGGTAGACACGTTCGCCTTAACCCTCTTTCCAGTCCCAGCCCCAGACCTTTCTCCCTTCAGCCATCTCTGACACATTCCCTTCCTGGCAGCTGAAGACTGTCTAAACTTTTCAGTAGGCCTCTGGGTGCTGGTCACAGCACGGTGTTTCCTAAGGCTGTGAGGAGCTGGGGAAGACACGTGAGGCATTTAGGCACTGGCTCACAGGAGTGTAGTTCAGCGCCTTACCTTTTTACTTTGTGTTTCAGTAGTTTCCAGATGTCAAAGTGAGGACATCTGCCTGCTTCCTGTCCTGTTTCCCTCAGTTCTGATAAGCCATTACAGTTTGTCCTCCCACTATTTTCTGAGACAGTTGAAAGCTTTCGTTCACTGTCCCTGTACTCTCTTCTTCTTGCAGGTTTACATCTTTCTACACTTTTTATCCTTTCTTAAGATTTTTCATTGAGCATAAGAAATAAGTGCTTATTAATTTGCTTCAGGTTAATTCTCTACTCTGTCTCAGAAATATCCCAAATTTTCTTATTTGATATTGGTAGCAGATTTACTGTACTTGCCACTGTTTACCTACTGGCTACCACCTTTGCCTTTTTTCCTTATCTTTTTTATTTATTTATTTATTTATTTATTTGTGTGTGTGTGTGTGTGTGTGTGTGTGTGTGGCCAGCTCAGCCCACCAGGGGTGGGGCTGGCTGGCATGTGGTGCTGGGTGATTGAACCGCGGTCGCTGTGCTTTGCTAAGCTTGTTCTAAGTAGGTGCTTTAGACCACTGAGCCATCTCACCAGCCCCTTTTCCTTATCTATGGTGCTGGGGTTTGAAACCAGGGCCTCACCCATGCTAAATAAACACTAAGCTATGCCTCCCAGCCTCATTTGTTTTTATATTTCTTTTTTATTTTTGCTTAAGCTTTGGAAGGGCAAGAGAAGTTAGGCTGAGAAGATCAAAGGTAGGTGCAGGTAAAGATGTAACACTGATTAACCATCTTGAGCTATTCTGAAATAATAATTTATTTATTTTTATGTATTTAGTAAAGGGTCTACAGGGTCTCACTACACAGATCAGACTTGTAGTAATGGATTTCCAGCCTCGCAGCACTGGGAATAGAGGCATGCCACCATGCCCGGTCTCACTTGCCCTCTCAGTGAGCCCTGGGTGCGGGGCCCAGTAGGGCACGCTGGGGATCAAACCCCGGGTCCCTGTGCCTGTGTCTGTCTAAGCTGGTGCTTTAATCTGCTGAGCTCTCTGGCTGGCCCTAGTTTAAGGTTTTACATCTACTTAAGTATCTATTGCCTGTTTGTTGTCACATGTTAAGTAGGGCAGCTTGTGGAAAAACGACAGTACCTTTGACCTTCTCAGCCTAAATTCTCTTGCCCAAACATTTGAAGGTCATGAAGAAGGATATTTCACAGCTATAATGTTGAAGAAATCCAGAGTGAAATTAAAAAGCCAAGAGATCATTCCTTTTCCAAGTACCAAAATGATGAGGAACCTTTTGTGTGTGCATGTAAGTAATTTACATTTGAAGTTTTATTTTTATTAGTTTTTTTTTTAACTTTCTGCAAAGCTTTATTCCAGAGGAGCTCAGTCCTTCTTGGCAGCTGCCTTCCTCATGGCAGCCAGCATGTTGCTGAACTCGTCATGCTTCCTGTTGGTGGGGATGTGCATCCCACCCTTTTTTTGATAAACTTGAGGGTGCATTTGTCCTTGGAGACCAAGTAGACCTTGCTACTATGTATACAATACTATACAGACAATTTCTCCCTTACTAAACTGTATGAAAAGACCTATTTTGATTCAGTTTCATTTGCCTCGCAGAGTATAACATAGGACCATGTATAGAAGAATATGGTGCTCTGCTTGGAGGGGCGAAGCCACCCATCTCCCAGATCGTGTTCCACACGAACTTGGTGTGTTTGGTGAGGTGTCACAACAGCTGCTGTGCCTCAGTTTGCTCACATTCTTAGTCACCTTGTGGCCCTTGTTGAGGCCCACAGCCATGGGATAGCGGAGGGCCATGGCTACTGTTCTTTGATGGTTGCTATGGCTACATTGGAAGTTTAAAAATAGTCCCATGGTGTTATCATCAAAAAAACCAAAAACATGTAATCCCAGCTCTTGGGAGGCTGTAAACAGGTGGAGCACTATGAGTCTGATCTCATAGACCCTGAACACCCTGTAGACCCTTCCCTAAAATACAAAAAATAAATAAATACTTTAAAAAAAAAACCAAAACTGCCCTTAAAGAAAAATTTGCTTCTTACCTGTACATTCTTTTAAATAACCTTAAAGAGGGGGCCTGCCCCGTAGCTCAGTTCTTTAAGTGGCTGCTTCAACAAAGCAGTCAGGCTCTGGTTGCTTTGGTTCGATCCCCACAACACAAGACAGCCAGTCATGCCTTGAAGGCATTCCGGAAAATTAAATAAATAAATAAATAAATAACCTTAAAGAACTTTGTTGGATTCCTGCATAAATTTTGAATTTAGACAGACTTGTAAAAATAGAATTTTTATTTTTTTAAATTTTTTTAAATGTTTCTTTATTGAGCATTTTTTTTAACATTTATTTATTTATTGTGTTTTAGACCACTGAGCCATCTCACCAGCCCAAAAATAGAATTTTTAATGTACGAAATGTTTTCCTAGGAATATTTGAGTTCGAGGATATTCCACATTTGCTTCCTAAGTAATGTTTGTATTTTTTTTTCTATACATGGTACTGTGTTATACTCTATGAGGCAGATGAAACTGAATCAAAACAGGTCTTTTCATACAGTTTAGTAAGGGAGAAATTGTCTGTATAGTATTGTATGTATAGTAGCCGAAATAAAGGAAAGGCATTAGTGCCTCTCACAGGTACAAGTGGTACTGTGGAAGTTTGGACAGAGATGTCTGCTAGAAGATAATGAGGATTTCAGGACGGAAGTTGTATTTGAATTGAAATATAGACCTCTGAGAAATACACAAGCTGTAGATAGGAAGAGTCAAGTAGAGAAAGCATCATGAGCAGTGTTTTGCAAGTTGCAAGAGCTGTGTATGTAGGGACACGAGCGAGGCACATATGTGTCCATTGGTGTGGAGGATTGGAAGAAGGGAGTGTGGCAGGAGGGTGCAAACGCATCACCGCATCACAGTGGAGGTGACGTTAGTCCGTGCAGGCAGGGTTAGGAGCTCACATTTCCCTTTTGACCGAGAGGAACAGTGCTGGATTACAGTTTGGGAAGTGTGTCAGCTGTTGCTTGAACAGGCTGCTAATCGTGTCCTCAGAGTTCACCATTTGCAGTCAGTGCTCAACCTAATCATTTATCCTGTTGCAGGTGAGTTTGTCTGGACATGAACTTTGCCTTATGACATCCCATCTGGAGAGCACCAGAGGGCATGCCAAGGAACGAATGAATCAGTTAAAACTGGTGTTGAAGAAAATGCAAGAGGTTCCAGAGTCGGCTACAGTTATATTTGCAGGAGACACAAATTTAAGGGATCAAGAAGTGAGTATCAAAGGTAGTTCAATGTGTGTGTGAAAGATATCGCTTTAGGGTTTAGTTGTTTGACCAAAGCTATTAATACAGGATGTTAGTTGACCTTGAAAGTATAAGTTAGCCAGTGATGTCTTTTAGCCTTTGCTGTTATTTCTAGGGGCAGAAGAGGCTCTGTCATTACTGGGGAAAACAAATATTGTAGATGAAATAGACAACATACAATAATGTATCTGTTACAGTAGTAAGAGGTTTATGGAGAAGCTAATGATTAGAAGACTTTAGAAAAGATCGAGACTGAGTTTATGTGCAGAACTCTTAGCTGCAAGGTGAGAAGAACAGAGAGATGTTAGTTGTTTCTTATGCTCAGGCTTGTGTGGTTGCTTTTTGGATTTTACTAACTTTGCTTGGAGACAATGCTGGGTACACATCATGGCCTTGTGCATGCTAGGCAATGCCCTACCACTGAGCACTACCCTCCAGCCCCAACTTCTTAAAAAAGCTTTATTCTGTGAAATTAAAAATTTGAGCTTTTCATAACCACAAAAATATAGTCACACTAATGATTGATTAACAGAATGTAGTGATATGTTCTTCAAACAGAAATCACGTTGAGGGGTCATCATAATTCATCAAGTCTTTTTACCCCCTTTTGATGCTTCCACAATGGCCAGTTTCTTTCCTCTTAGTGTGAAGAGAAGGAATTAATATTGTTAATACATTTAAAATAAAATTTTGCCGGGAAGATGGCTCAGTGGAATAAGCGCTTCCCTGTCAAGTGCAAGGGCCTGAGTTCAATCCCTGGTTCTGAAGAAAAAAAAAAAAAATTCAGGCCAGCCAAGTAGCTTAGCGGAGTACAGTGCGTGCATAGGCAGATGCAAGGGCCTGCGGTGCTGGCCCCACCCCCGGGGCACACTGAGGCTTGATTGAGACTGAGCGTGGTGGTGCGCCTGCAATCTCAGCACTTGGGAGGCTATAAACAGGAGGATCTCTAGGAGTCTGATCTACACAGTGAGACCCTGTAGACTCTGTAGGCCCTGTCCTAAAATACACACACACACACACATCTCAAGGCAGTTAACATTATTGGAGCATATAAATGCCACATTTCTAAATTAATAGACTAGTCTTTGCTCTTTCCACATGAGTTCAATTTTTAAAAACTTTTATTTATTGATTTATTTTTTAATTTTGAGACAAGGTTTTACCAAGTAGTTCGGGCTGGCTGTGAAGTCACTTTTCATAGCAGTTCTTCTGCCTCAGCGTCCCATGTGCTGGGAGTGCAGGTGTGTGCTACCACACCTGGCATGCCACACCTGGCAGTCTTTATAAATTTAAAGCATTAACTGAGGCAATGAGTGTTCAGTCTTCTGAGTTTTATCTGATAATGCAAATTAGGTACCTATTCAAGGCAGAATATTGGTGCATTAATTATTTTTGACTTTCTGGTTTAAAATGTTGGAATTGGTTATGGTATTAGAAAACATTGTTTAACTTAGAAGAAAATGATTATATAGATGTGTTCCCATATTTCTCTTTTCAGGTTACTAAATGTGGTGGTTTGCCAAGTAACATTTTGGATGTCTGGGAGTTTTTGGAGAAGCCTAAGCATTGCCAGTATACCTGGGACACACAGATGAACTCTAATCTTGGAATACCTGCTACTTGTAAACTTCGTTTTGATCGAATATTTTTCAGAGCAGCAGCAGAAGAGGGCCATATTATTCCTCGAAGTTTGGATCTGCTTGGGTTGGAAAAACTGGACTGTGGCAGATTTCCTAGTGATCACTGGGGTCTACTGTGCAATTTAGATGTCATATTGTGAAATACTTTTCAAATGGGAGTCTTAAGTGTTTTGAGTCCTTTTGTTCTGGATTTTAATAGGCAGATGTAATTTCTGCCTATCTGGAAAGTCCAATTTAATATGGAGAAATTAACTGTACTGGACATTACTACAGGAGAACATAGTTATAATTTTATGTTGTAGATTATGTCTTCAGAATTAGAATCAATGCTTGATTGCTTCTCTCTCTCTCTTCTCTCTCTCTTTCTCTCTAAATCTTTTTGAAATGGTCTAAGTTGCCTGGCTGGGGCTCGAGCTCCTACTGCCGTAGCCTTGCAGAGTGCTGGGGTCACAGGCGTGCACTACGAACCCCAGTATGTATTTTAAACTTATACATGTGTTCAGAATATGAAACCTGTTTGTGCCTAAGCTGTCAGTTGGGTATCAGCTAGCGCCCACATCGTCTGAGGACTAACATTTACAGCATTTGTTTTTTCAGCCAGGCACCAAAATAGTTAATATTTCAAATGTCATCATTTATTGAGGTTACTAAGTTCTTGGGACTGAATCATAATTATATTTCAGAAATTAACATACTTGAAAAATCCCTGACCACTTTTAGTTAAGTAGACAACTCAGATCCTACATTAGATTTCATTTCTTTTATCAGCCAATAGTACATAATTGGGAAGTAACAAATCAAACTTTATGATTTAAAATTCCCTAACACTTTTCTGATTAGTGTTGCTGGCCATGTCACCAAACTTAGGCCTATTGTGATTCAAATCAATTTTATGGGAGGCTATAAAGGATTTTTTTTTTTTTTTTTTGTGGGTCTGGGTATGGAAATCAGGGCTTCACTCCCAGGGTCTTATACATGCTAGGCAAGTGCTCTTTGAGCTTAACCCTACCTCTAAAGAGTACTTTTCAGGGAGCTTTAAAGAAAATTCTCCACAAAGGAAATGTACTGCAAATAAAGAATTTTTATGTTTTATAGATTGAGTGTGTTCTTATGTCCATGATGGTATTCAAATGTTTACCTATTTTTGGATGCTGCTGTTTCCTTATGTGGAAGAAAACAACTTTCTCTTTTGCTTTTCATCTCACTTAGAATTACTATGGAAATCTTAGTAAAGAAAAAAGAAATCCAGCGGGAAAAACTAGAACTAGAGGTGACAGAAACATATTTTCATCAATAGTACCTACAGGACAGTTTAGATTGACACATAGTATCCCCTTTTAGCCATTATAGAAGTTATTCATAACTATAATTAAAATTCATGGAAATGTTTTAATAGCATAAAGTATGGAATAATAGTTCATTTCTGTGGAAAGAGGATGGAGCTGGGATGAATTTCTTATTTCATAGAATTGTTAGAACCCCATATTAAAATAGATGGGTGAAGGTCTAACAAAGTATGCTGCGTGGTGCATGAAATGATTATTGTTTTAAAACAAAGTATTTCCTTTATATAACAGCATCCAACTAAAATACCTCCTTGGTTACTGCTTCTGACAAAACACCACAAACAATAGTGCATTGAGTAGGAGCAGTGAAACCACTGCTGCTGTGGGCAGTAGTTTAAAGGCAATAAAAGAACCTAATTTGCAAGATCTTTAGTTTTTAACTTTGCATTCATTTTAAGGTTTTGCATTCTAAAAGCTCTGTTTACCAAACTACCCTAGGTGAGATTCCGCCTATAATCTTACAGCGAGCCAACATTTTTATTACTTTATTTCTGTTGAGCAGTTTGGCATGATACGGAATATATTTTAGGTTTGCTAAACCTCAGTTTCTCCTGTCTTCAAAATAAGACAGTTCTGTATTTTATTGTGCAAATGTCCCAGCCAGCACGAGCTGACAGGAAAACCACTGAAAAAGCATCATTTTATCCCTAGCATCCATCTGCATGATTGAAGCAGTGAGTACAGAATGCGGGGAGACAGGATACTGCGTTCACCGCTGTGTCAGGAACAGGCCAGCATTTGAGTACCATGTCTCCGTGTTCACATGCATGTACATTCATCATATATAAATGCAAATAGCCCTGCCAGGGGCCATAACTGACCTACTGACTTGAGGCATTGCTGCTGTATTGTGGAGTGCCCCTTGGGAGAGGAGGAAAGGCCCCCAGGAAGTATTGGCACCCGTGGAAGGATTAGTGCCCTGGAATCCAGGATGGGCTCCAGTTCCCTTCTTTTCAGAGGCCTGTTGGGAAGAAGCAGACATTAACTGGGGATTAGTGCTGTTCGTAGGAACTGCAGGGAGCTTCACAACTGGGCATCACTAGTTACTGATATGAACAGTAAGGCCAGGGGCCCCTTTGGAAGGAAACCATAGGCATTCAGGAGGGAAGTGTTAGACTGAAACATGTCTCCTGTGAATCTGACCACTGGCTCTCTCCAGACTGTTTAGTGGCAAGGTTACCTTTGTTGGAGATAAGGTCTTTGTATGTAGTCCAGGCTAGTCTTAAGCTCACATTTGATAACTGCCTCAGGCTCTAGAGTGGCAGGCTGATTGTCACTTTTTCCTCCTTGGTCAGGTTTTTAACGTTTCCAATGTACATAGTCTCACTTAATTCCCTCGATCATCACCCATGGGTGCTGTTGTTATAACCCAAGGAACTAGGGTGAGCAGGGTTGCATAATTTGTCCGCGGCACTTCCATCGCAAGTGCATGGTCTGGTGGATGCCTGTGGTTCATCAGGGTGTGGCTCGGCCCTAGGCCGTGCACTGTAGCCTACAGAGACAGGTCGGGGAAGGAATGCCTGGCTTCTTTCCCTTACTGGCCTTATCAGATGCTTAACTACGAAGAGGAACATTCCAGCGTTTCTGAGGTTGGGATTCTCACTTCCCCAAGACGCACAGGTGGTCAGAGTGCCCTGGGCACAGGGACGCTTGTGGAGCGGAGAGTTGGTCCGACCTCCCCAGGCCAGGTTGTCAGATGGTTACCTGGTGGAGCCTAAAAAGCCTCCACGGAAAGCGCAGGACTTGTGTAGCTGGGTTGACTCCTTCGAGGGATGCATTCGTGAAGGGTCCTTAACTCAGTGCCCACAGTGCTCTTAAGCCACTGTGGCGCTACCATTTATTTAGAAGTAGCGTTCATTTCCAGCCTCTTCAACACCTGGTCGCAGAGGAAAGGAGGTGGGGAGCGCAGGCCGCTCTGCATTTCTGAGTCCGGCTTCCCGCGGGTGGGAGCTGGTCCCCCGGGAACCGTGCTGAGTCTCATTCGCTAGCCGACTTGCGCGCTACGGCCGCCCGCCCACCCTTCCTCGCCGTGGGTTGAGCGTGCGTGCGCGTCGCCGTGGTAACCGCGCAGCGGAAAGGCGCTGAATCACCGCGCGCGCTGCCCCGACGCCCGCCGAGCTGAGCTGAGGCTGGCGGGTGTCCCGGGTGCAACCGGGCTGGAGCAGTGCCGCCGCCAGCAGGTAGAGCGGGGCGCCGGGGCAGGGCCGCGGTCGCTGTCCCTGCTGAAGGTAAGAGCGCAGCAGCCGCGCCTGCCAGCTAGGGTTTGGTCTGGAGTCGCCGCCCTGAGGCTGTGTCCCGGGAAGGGATAGCTAGGAGGGTGCTCTGAGGGGCGGCACCCCCGA